TAAAGCTGAGCTCCTCCCCCACACCAATAATACTCTGACCTTTAATATCAAAATAAAATCGGTGCACCCAACAAGACAATCTCTGCTAAGGCTGTTTTAAGCTCTCATTACTCATGTGCCTCAGCCCTGAACCGCTGGAACAGCACCCAGGCCTGGAGGACCCCAGTGTTTAAGGGCACTCCTTCCCCAGGTCCTGGTTTCTGATGACAACCAGAACCATTCCACACAGGAGGCAAGAGGGAATGTTGTAAAAATGTCTGCGTGATTAAATGCCTCTTGTGAACCTTCCTGGCAGGGGAATACCATGACCTAACACCATCTGCACCACGTCAGAGAGTTAAATGACTGATAAGATGACAGGAATTCCTGTGGTGAATAGAGCTGATGCCAGCAGTGAGTTTGGAGGCTCACTGGTGAAACAACTGGCTGTGAAGAGCAATTTGGCACTGGGCTGTGAGCCCATTACCCCAAAATCACTTCCCCCAGTTCATCCTGTGTGACTGGAGAGGTTTAATGGAAGACAGGCTGCCTCTCATGGCTGCCCATTGACAGTAGCTGATGTTTCCCAGCACGGCTCTTCTCTTTAGGCTCTTTAAAAAAAAATGACAGAAAACAGCTACAGATCCAAAAAAAAGGGCTCCTCAGTTATTTGAGGGCAGATTTTTGAAGCTAAAAATGCACGTCAGTATACGGTGACATTCCCAAGAAGTTGCCTGTGCAGTTAAAGGATCTGTCTGCCACCAAAAAACGGGCAGCAGGAAGCACTAACCATGATTTGCAATGCCACAAGATCCAACTTCTACACTTCACATTCCCACTACTTATGGGGCGAGATTTCTGCCAGAACTTATTTAACACATTTTCAGACAAATATCCCTGAGGGAGAAGTGTAGAGTTTTTCTGTAGAAAAGTTTCTTTTCCCTTCTGAAAAAAAAAAAAAAACCAACAAAAACAACAAACAAACCAAAAGTTAGCTGCTAGAAAATAGAAAAATACTACAACCAGATGAATTACTGCTTCCTGGTCAGCTTTCTCCACCAGGAGACTGGTAATCATGGAATAGTTTGAGTTGGAAAGGACCTTAAAGATCATCCAGTTCCACACCCTGCCATGGGCAGGAACATCTTCCACTATCCCAGTTTGCTCCAAGCCCTGTCCAACCTGGTCTTGGACACTTCCAGGGATCCAGGGGCAGCCACAGCTTCTCTGGGCAACCTGTTCCACCACTCTCCTATCATAAATCATCACAATCACTGCCCATAAGTTAATTCTGCACGAAGCAGTAGAATGAGAACTCATGCAAAGACTCAGCAAATAACTCTGAGGGAGATCCAAGCTCCTACAACCGCGTTGCCAGCGCTGCTCAAATCCTGACAATCGTTACCATAAAGTAAAAAATAACCCTTCCCACCCTTCCAGCACCATTTTTTGGGATAATCTTTAGATGGCTCTAATTGAGCCATCCAATCACCCTGTCTACAGATTTTTTTTTTTTTTAGCAGATTAAGCCAAAGGGAAAAAAAATATCTTTCTGTTACAGCATTAGATGCTAAATCCACTGAGATCCCCATAGCCACAAACAGTTGTCTAAGGAGCTTTCTGCTCATGTTTGTTTTTTTTTGTTTTGTTTTGGTTTGGTTTTGCTTCATTTTTTAACAACAGCCTTTTGCAGAGAGGTTTGGGGTGGTCTGGTTGCTTCCATCTGCTTTTTAGCAGACCCTGCTGTCAGTTGTTACTCCAAAGGGCAGTGACAGCAGGGAGGCTTCTCTTCACTGAGTGATGAACTCCCCGATATCGGCAGCTGAATGACAGTGGCACCGAAGGTACCGAGTGTCACAGCTCTGCACCAAACAAACACCTCCCAGCTCCAAGGGTTTGCCAGGAATAGTGAGTGCTCTGGGAGGAACAAGGAGATGCTCTATGAACAGAGAACTCCTGTGCTGGTAGTAGGGAGGATCTTGACGTTCCCTGAGTCTTTTGAAATCCAAAGGGCAAGGGATCTAATTCAAATTACGAAGGGGAATTACCGAGCAAACACAACCCAGCACAAAAGCTGTAACAAGAACGCCTTGTGGAGTTATAAGATGTTACAGCAGCACCACCCAGACATTACTCCTCACTCTAAGATTTCTTCCCAAATTATCTATTCAAGTGGAATGCATCTCACAGCATCCTTCGCGGGGGGGGGGGGGGGGGGCTGAGGAGACGAGAAAAGCAACAAAATCCCCCAAACCCACACTGCCTGAACTCCATCCAGCTGATACAAACACAGGCAGCAGCAGAGGAGAGCTCATGGGAGAGAGCCTGGTGCACCACACCTGGGCTGCCCGGTCCCTGCGAAGCACCGCGAGGATTTCCTCTGCTCTCCCCTCCTGGCACGACCTGGAAGCCAAGATTTAAGCTGCTCCTCGTAAATCCCTGCACCAGGAACACGCCACTCCACTGCTTTTCACCTCGGGGTTGCACCCCGTGTGTGAAACCGCAGCCGATCGGTAACCCCCGCACAGCAAAAGAGGCACAGCTGATTGGGTGCCACTCTTGATTTTTGCTGCTGGGAAAGGAAAACCCCGTTTAATAAAGCAGCAGGGCTTTTATAACAGCAAAGAACCGCAAAAAAAAAAAAAAAAAAAAAAAGTGCCGGGTTAGGGCATAGTTACTGGTGCACCTGCTAATTCCCAAAGAACGAGCCGCGCTAAGGGAAGAAGGATCTGCCGGCTGAACCCTGCCTGGCACTTCACTGACTGCACCGTCCAGGAGTCATCCTGCCTGATAACACTTCCCACCAAGAAAATTCTAGTTTGAACTTTTCCAGTAAGAGAGAAAAAAAAAAAAAAAAAAGAAAAAAAAATCAAAACAAGAGAAGCCACAAGTGCGAATTCTCCCAGCTTATTTATTTATAAGCTGACAAGTGATCCTTACATGTTTGGCACTATTTACATTTTTTCCCCCCTCAACTGTAATCCTTCCCAGGACACCACTTGTAAAGTTTACATCATCATTCCAACCACAAACAGGGCGGGTTTTTTTCCATGAGCTCTAACAGGCAACTTTCCCACAACTTACTAATTCCTATTTTTATTATTATTATTTATTTTTATTTGGAAAGGATAAATAAATAAATGATAGATAAACAGATAGATTGATAAATAGATAGATATAGGAGAAAGAATCAGATAGATAGATAAATAGATAGGAAAGCATTAGATCGATCGATCTGATGTTCCAGGAGAGCACTCCTTCCCATCATTTTTCTGAATGGTTAATTAAAGCAAAACTTTGGGAAGGGCGCTGTTATGCTCCAGCATCCGTCTTTTGATGGAGCACCATTCCTCTATTCGGCAATACACACACATATATATAGATATATATATATGACATTATTAGTGGGTTGGAACTAAACAATTCTCCACTTCGCGCCCGGTCCTTCAAAGGGCAAAATACCTCCTCGCTTCACGTTCTGAAGGCAGGCCTATTTGTTAGGGTTTTAAACGATCCGGTTATTATAGATCCGCACCGAGCGCAGAGGAGCCCTCGCCGCGTTCCTCGAGGGATGCGCCGATCGCCGCCCGGGGAGGGAGATGCGAAGGTGACATTCACCCTCCGCGGAGCTACGGCAGCCCCCCCCCCCCCCCCCCCCACCTCACCGTGCCCGTCGCCCCTGCCCTGCCGGCCGCGCTCACCTCGCTCATGTCGCGACAGTCGCGGTCCCCTCCGGCGCGCGCCGCTCCCGCCGCCCCGCGACGCGCGTTAAGAAGCGGCGCCGCGCGCCCGGCCCGGCCCGCGCCGGCCAATCAGCGGCGAGCCCGCGAGCGCCCCACCCAATCGCGGGCTCCTGCATCCCGAGGGCGCGCGGCGCCCCCTGGCGGCCGGCGGAGGGGCTCGGGATGCTCACGGTCCCGTCCCGACCCGTCCTCGTGTTTCGTATTCCCGTCCCCATTCCCTTCTCCCTTCCCTTCCCTTCCCGTCCTCCTTCTCATCCTCCTCCTCCTCCCCGGCCGGGGTTCCCCTGCGGTTTAACAAGAGCGGGTGCAAGCAGTGCTATGGAAAGGGACAGTGTCTGAGGTCAATGGAAGGCAATACTACAGGAGATTTTGGGAGGGGATTCTGACCCTCTGCTCCACTCAGGTGACCCCCCCCCCCCCCCAACCTGCAGAGCTGCCTCCAGCCCGGGGAACAGCACAGGGAGCACAGGGAGCTGCTGGAGAGAGGCCAGAGGAGGCACCAAGAGGATCCCAGGGCTGGAGCAGCTCTGCTGGGAGGAAAGGCTGGCACAGCTGGGATTGTTCGGCTGGACAAGAGAAGCTTTGGGGGGACCTGACTGTGGCCTTGCAGGGCCTGAAGGAGTTCCAAGAACGATGGAGAGAAACTATTTCTAAGGGCTGGAGTGACAGGACAAGAAGGAATGGGTTCAAATTGACAGAGATTAGGGTTGGATTAGATATTAGGAAGAAATTCTTGGCTGTGAGGGTAGGCAGCCCCTGGCACAGGTTGCCCAGAGAAGCTGTGGCTGCCCCTGGATCCCTGGCAGTGTCCAAAGCCAGGTTGGATGGGGCTTGGAGCAGCCTGGGCTGGTGGAAGGTGTCCCTGTCTGTGGCAGGGAGTTGGAACTGGATGACCTTCAAGGTCCCTTCCAACCCAAACCATTCTGTGATTCTTTGACCCCCTCATCATCACACACCCCTGGTTACAGGCAGAGGGGCTGATGCCTTTCCCAAGTGCCCAGCACAGGGTGCACCCCTTTGGGGCGGTGTTGGAGCATTTTTGCAGGGGAGAGACACGGTGGGGAGAGGGGAGGAACAGCCCTTTGCACAGCTCTGCTGGAGGTGGCCTGGAAATGGGAATTATTGCTGCAGATTGGATAAACAGATGGTATTAGGAAGAAATTTTTCTGCTGTGAGGGCGGTGAAACAGCAGCACAGGTTGCCCAGGGAGGTTGTGGATGGACCAAGCGTTGTGTCACTGCTCTCACCACTGGGCTTTGCTCTCCATTGCATTAATCTTGCTGCCATTCTTGTTAAAATACACAGCATTTCTTCCATGGACACGTGGAGGACAGTCCTTCCCATCATTTTTCTGAATGGTTAATTAAAGCCAAACTTTGGGAAGTGCTGTTGTGCTCCAGCACCCGCCCTTTGATGGAGCACCATCCCTATATTTGGCAGTGCACACTCAGATGCTCTGACTCATGTATCTGTGAAGAAATACAGGTTCCATTAGCTCTGGGAATGTGTTTAACTCCCTCAGATTTTTTTTTCTCAGATCAATAAAAAACTTAACACACCGTTTTGGAGGAGTTTTTGACAAGCCCTTCCCCTCCCAGGGATTACCTGGCAGCAGCCTCTTCTCTTCACCACTGTCTGTCCTCAGGGCCAGTATTTATGGAGCCAGTGAAATCAATTTGGTGAGAAACCTCCTTATCCCTTTGAGCTGCAGAGACAGGGTGGGCTGGGCTCCTTCACCTGAGGATGAGGAGGCTCCACAGGCACTGGAAGCAGGGATGTGTATCCTGGGATGCTGCCCAGATATGTGATTATGGGATCAGGAAAGCTGAGGCACAGCTGGAGCTGAATTTGGCAAGGGATGTGAGGAATAATGAGAAGGGCTTCCATGGCTACATTAATCAGAAGAGGAGGAGAAAATAAAATTTACCCTCATGAGAAATAAAACAGGGAAGCTGGTGGCAACCAGGTACTGAACACATTTTTTGCCTCAGTTTCCCATGTTAATCCCTCCTCCAACATTTGTTGAGCCCCCAGAACTCCAGGGGAATGAGGTGTCACCAAAAGTGAAGATCAGGTTTCCAGACCAGCTGAGGAACCTGAACACACCCACGTTCACGGGAAATGACAAGATGCATCCAAAGGGTCCTGAGGGAATTTGCTGATGGAGTTCCCAAGCCACTCTCCACGATATTTGACAGGTCCTGGCGGTCTGGAGGTGTCCCAGAAAGAGAAACATCTCCCATTTTTTACCAGGGCCTGCCCAGAGCTGTGGACTCATTTGAAATGTCATCTTTGTCCCTCTTCCATTAAACTATTATGCCCAGGACCTCCACCAGCACCTGGAATTTTTTAAGATCCACCTTAGCTGTCCCAGTTTTTGTTGTGAGTGGACCAAGTGGGCGATGAGCACAGGAAGAGTTCATTGCATGAGTAGCTTCAGGAGCTCCAGTGGAAGGACCCAAAGCAAAGATGACAAAGTTTAGCCCCTGGAGAAGCCGTGTTTTATGTGACAACATTTTCCAGGGAAAAGTAACTGTGGGTGTGTTGCATTAGCAATCCCGCTCTGACAGGAGCGTGCCACTGGTCTGTCAGCTTATGGGTACAACATAAATTATTAACAGAGTATTCCTGATCAAAGGCTTCCCAAGCACATGGTAAGAGACACAGAATGCTGAGAGGAAATCTTTTCAGTTCCCTTTGACACTGAGAGGAGTCGTATCAGTCTCGCTCTCCATCAGCAAAATAATACCAGGACCGGTGTCTCTTCTAAATCCACAGTGGTGATGGCAGTGCCCTCCATGCAGTGACTCTGTTTGGATGACCACTTCTGTATTTTCTAGCATGCAGTCACTTAATAAGATGCATAACCTGCCCTCAGACAGGTTTCTGAGTGAGCACAGGACTCCCCTCTCCCCTGGGAATTGATCCACAGGGATGCATCTGTTTTCTCTCTCCAACCCCCATGAATCTTGTTGCCTGCAAGAGCTTAACAGCTCTTGAATGTACAAACACAGAGCCACAGATACCTCCTAAACTGGGGGGCAATCAGCTTGGTTGGACAAATCTCGAGTTCTGGAAACGCAGCAGCAACTTGAACTTTTCAAGAGGATCTTACAAAAAATGTAACCCTAATATTTGTTTTATTTATACCCTGTCATTTATGATGTGTGATGGCAGCACCTTTTAGTTTCGAGGCACCCCCTTTTCTAACCCGTGGCAATCCTTTAACTGAAAGGTGGCCCAAAGCTCTGCTTTTACTTAAGTGCAAGGCTAAGCTGTGGCACTCCTAAAGTGGAGAGAATGTTCTAAGCAATCTATTTTCAAGAGCTGTTACATGCTGAAAATTGACTATTAAAATGCCACCTTCTTATTCATCACGTCTGCACTCGGTGTGTGCTCAGTCTTGTCTGCTGCCACATGACTGCAATTTTACTGCCTTTTACTCCCACTTACCTGAGAGATGCAGCAGAGAGAGGAGCATCTGAGCTGGATCTTGAAACAAAAAGTCCCTCAGGCTTCCAAGGAGTTTCACCTGCGTAAAGGGACCGAAAATGGCTCTTCTCTGCAACACCTGAGCAATCTGTAACTGAAGAATGTGTTTTAGGACCATGTAATCACAAGGTGGTTTGGATTGGCAGGGATCTTAAAGATCATCTCATTCCAACCCCCCGCCATGGGCAGGGACACCTTCCACTAGCCCAGGTTGCTCCAAGCTCTGTCCAGCCTGGCCTTGGACACTTCCAGGGATCCAGGGGCAACCACAGCTTCTCTGGGCAACCTGGGCTAGTGCCAGTGCCACCCTCACAGGGAAGAATTTCTTCCCAATATCTAATCTAAACCCATTGTCCAGCTTAAGGCCATTACCCCTGGTCCTTTCATTCCATGCCCTAGGGAGAAGTCCCCTCCAGCCTCCTTGCAAACCCTCCTAAGGCACTGGAAGAGGATTTAAGGTCCCTCCTGAGCCTTCTCTTCTCCAGCCGAACAATCCCAGCTGTGCCAGCCTTTCCTCCCAGCAGAGCTGCTCCAGCCCTGGGATCCTCTTGGTGCCTCCTCTGGGCTCTCTCCAGCAGCTCCCTGTGCTCCCTGTGCTGTTCCCAGGGCTGGAGGCAGCTCTGCAGGGGGGTCTTCATGGGGGTCTCACAAGAAGGGGACAATCCCCTCCTTTGACCTGCTGGTCACACCTTTTCGGATGCAGCCCAGGACATGGTTGTCCTTCTGGGCTGCAGGTGCTCATTGCCAAGTCACGTTGAGCTTTTAGTCCACAAACACCCCCAAATTTTTCCCCCCAGGCCTGTTATCAATCCATTCTCTTCCCTGCCTGTGCTTGGTATTGCTTCCACCCAGGTGCAGGACCTTGCACTTGCTGCAGTGGTTCCTTGGACACCTGCAGGGATGGAGACTCCACCACCTCCCTGGGCAGCCCCTTCAACGCTCAGCAACCCTTTCAGTGTAGAAATTCTTCCTGATGTCCAACCTGAGCCTCCTCTGGCACAGCTTGAGGCCATTTCCTCTTGTCCTCTTGCTTGTTCCCTGGGAGAAGAGACCAATCTGGTTTTGGCTACAACCTCCTTTCAGGTGGTTAGCAGATAGTTCAGGTAACAGGACAAGATCTCTCCTCAGGCTGCTGTATTTTCTGTACAAAATTTGCTTCAAATCAAACCCCAAAAAGAACAAAATGAAAATGTGGCTGTGCTTTAAAAGGTGTTCCATATTCCATCAGGGCACAACTGCTCTGTTTGGTAGGATATATTTGAATTCTGACTGCAAGGACTGAAGTTTCCCAGGGCCTGAAATGGGCACAGTGAAATGAAACCTCGGCCTCTCGCTGGTTTTGCACTCCATGAATTTTTAAAGAGGAGGAATGATTTCACACAGGCTCTCTGCAAAATAAAAAAAAGCTGAAATCAAGGCTGTTGATCTCAAATGGGAAGCTTTTGTTTCAGAGAGAGATGTGTGCCTTTGAATAATGGAAAACCAGGAGAGGATCTGGAACACAACCTTAATTATTTGCTCCTTGATAGCGAGAGATTTAAGAAGCGTAGTCCTGGATGCTGTGTGATGTGGGACTGCTCATGTCACACATATCAGCTAATTCTCCCAAGTTAAAAAAAATAAAAAAGCCATTTTCCATGGGCTCCCATCGGTATAACTTCCTACCTCTTAATTAAAAAGCCAGTGGCTGCGAGTAGTTAATCAACAAAATACCTTTGAAGACCTGGGCCTTGGAGCCCTCTTTGCAATGCAACCTGTGCTCCCATGGGAGAGAAGTGAGTCAAGGGTTCCAACAAAACCTGATCACTGTCTGTGTCACAAAAAATATCAAATATAATTTGAAAAATCCAGTCTTTTCTCAGGAGAGTTCCATGACATGAATTCCTGTATAGTGTGAGTCACCTCCCATCCCCAAAAAAGTACAACCTGAGAACCCAACACCCAAATATATGTCAATTCTTCAGTCTGGACAAAGAATTTTGATGGATGCAAGAAGAACATGGAAGAGTAATACAGATGTAAGAATAATACAGAGATGTGTCCTTAGCTTTGGTGCAAAGAAAGCCAAGTTTAAGCCAAATTCCCTCCACTTTTCAAAGCCTGAAGAATGTTCTGGGGTTTCACCTCCTGACCGACCCAGCCCTGCAGAAACCAGGGGATGAGATGTGCAACCTTCAGGTGTTACTTGGTGGCAGTTAACTTCTTAATTAAAAGGTAAAAAGACATAATACTTATCAGGTAACAATTTTCAATCTCTGTACAGACAAAGGAATTCATGTGGTTTCAAAGATCCACAATTATACACGGAGAGATAAGGAAGTTTAAAGTATGTTTGTTCCCTTGCTTTACTTCAGTGAAAGGAAATTAAGCAGGGAGATTAGGGTTAAGGGTAGATTTTCAGGGAGACTGAAAAATATTTTAAATATATTTCTGGACTGATATGTGAAGTTTTGGAGTTCTCAACCTCATCTACTGGGGTTTTTTGAGCCGTACATTCCTGGGTTTTAAATGGAGCTGGTTAGAATTAACGTTACACTGGGTGAGAAGAACAATATGGGCTTGTTATTTCAAGATACTCTTTCTAGGCCTGTTTCCTACATTTGGTTTATTCAGAAAATGGGATCTCTTCCACTCAGCAAGGTAAAGATATTTACTTAACACCCAGAAACTGAGCTAGTCAAGGGAAAGGTGAGATCAGCACTTTTTGTTTTCTGAGCTGTGAAGTGCAACAACAGACTGAGACAGATTGGGCTGTCTTACAGAAATACTCATTTAATGGGCATACTCAGAGACCCAAAAGCAGGCACTTTATCACAGCCTGTTCTGTCCCACTGGGTTAAATCTCTCCTTTTAGCAATGGTTAGTTTGCTGAGAGGAGTGTGAGGCATGGGAAGGAAAGGAGACATTAAAATATGCTGGAAAAAAAAACCCCATCATGTTCAGCATCTAAAACCCCGAGGTGATGAATAGGTGCAGCTAATCAGGCCAAACCTTTTTTTAATGATATTCTTTGTAATTTTTTTTATGTTTGTTAAAAAAAAAATGATAAAATGGAGGTGGAAATGAAAGGAGCTCCCTGCTGACTGATGGCAAAGGATGACCCCTCACTTTCAGCAGAAAGAAATGCTTAGTTCTCCTCCCTTCATCTTTCTTCTCCAATGCCTGTGTTACCAATAATAACACCTCATTTAGCAATTTCCTATGGACTGATGGTGACATTTCAGTTGAGTGGTTGATGACTTTTTCTGAGGGCCTTGTCCACCTTCCATCCTTGCTAGAAAGTGCTCTCCCCGAGCCAGTCTCTTCATCTGAGGTGTTGTAAAGTGAAGGTTCTTGCAAAGGTCAGCACGACTCTAAAATAGATCCACGAACACAAAGGACCAGTGGTTCTCTGCCCTGGCTCACTGTGGGGTCATTTTATTCAGCACAGAGTTTTCCCATGGTGGTATTTCCAAAGCACCACCAGAAGGTGGGCTGGGAAGGTCTGGGCTCTGGGGGATCTCTCTGCAAACCATGAAAGGACAAGTTTCCCCTGGGGTGATTTTGGGACATTCAGCCCAGCCTGATCTGTGCCCTGGCAGAGCATCTCTCCCTCCCCCTCCCTCTCCTTTGACTTTCTACTTAAAGAAGAGAAATAAAAGAACCCAAAGCTATTTTTTTGGCCTTGTGGATGGACCCCCAAGGGCTGACACAGAAACCCTTCCCCTAAAAGATGGAAGTTTTCTATGAATGGCACTGGGGGAGGGTAAGAACAAGGCCAAGCCACGGGATCCCCCAATTCCAACCTCCCAGGGCTGTGTGTCTGGCACTGTGCAGCTTCTACAGTTTCTCCTCTCATGTTCCCCCTTTAAAATGCAAGTTGGATCACGTGCAGCTTGTTTAACACTTGCTGCTGGACAGAACCTCAAAGGAGCTGCATCCTCTTACTTAGGACCAGAAAAAAAAAAAACAACACAGTGAGGTTTAATGTGGGGTTTTTTGTGCAGTTGTTTTGTCCCTGTGCAGGGCCATGAGGCACAAAGGGGTCCAACATTTACCCTGTACACTAGTATTTGGGCAAAACAAAAGTCCAGGAAGTGCTCCCTCAAATGATCAGATTATTTGGTGTCAATTAGAAGCAGTTCAGGCTCTACAGTGACCTTGGCAGTGGGATGGAGCGCTGGCCATGGGCCTAGTGAG